GACATTGGCTACCTAAAATGAGGGGACAATAAAGGCACGAAGTGACTAGCTTACAGGGTTTCAAGAGGGAGTTTAGTTTAAGAGTATGGGGGGAAAGAAAGAGTCCCCACTGAATAGCTGTCATCTTGTCTAGATGGGTCTGGTGAAAAGAGATGGGGATAAGAGTCCTAAGATTCAATAGTGAATAACTGTTATCATGAGTAATCGCCACTGTCACAATTATAAAGGTAGAAGTTTTGTAACAAAAACAGTGGAGTGGTTAATCTTACAGTCCAGAAACAGAGGAACCTAGGACCATTAGGAGAGAAATGCACAAGCAGAATGCGGGGGGACCTTATCCAGGGAAACAGCAGCACCAGAGATGGGGGCATGGCGAGGGGGAATGGCTGAGGACTCTAGATTCATGGACTAAGAAGAGAGGGACTAAGAGCTGGTGGCCAGGAGCAGACTTGCAGAATGTGTCCTTTGGAGATGTAAACTATGATATATGCCTGAGTGGTTTTTTTGTTTGTTTGTTTTTTAAAAAGCTAAAGTGGATAGAGAGAAATACTGTTAATTGATGGTACGAGGGGATTATAATCATTGCAATGAAACAAAGTATATGATTTGTTGAATGTAAAACTGATGATATGCCCTGTAAACTTTCACTCAATCCACAATAAAGACCTTAAAAATATAAAAATAAAAAATAGTGAGGTTGGCCCAGGATCGGGCAGTGTTTCGTTCTGCTGTGCATAAGGGGGCTATGAGTGGGTACTGACTCGATGACATCTAACAACAACAACAATAAAGACATGATGGGATCCAATATTACTCGTGAATATCATGCTACAAATCCTGGGGATCCATTAAACACTTTTTTTAAAAGTAGAAAAGAACAGTTTATTTCATTCAACAACACGAATTCTAAAGAGTATTAAGTTTAAAAATCACCCTTGGAATTACAAAGACAGGCCATTTCAAATACATCCAGTGCATAAAAATAACGGTTTTCCTCATCCTCTATTAGGAAATATAAGAATCTGCCATGTTTTCAATAGTTTATATTACAAGGATGAAAAATTTCCCAATCTATATGTTAACGAAAAACAAAACAAAACAAAAAAAACCCCTGCACTTTTCCCATCCATAGACAGGAACTGTTGATCTTTTTTATATTTTCAGATTCATCTTTGTATTTCCAAGTTGAGAATATTTCTAATAAAGATTTTTAAGACTGGCAGAAACTACTTCATTTCAAAATCTCTATTCCTTCTCTCAACGTGATACGTTAATTGCTGCATGTAGAAAAAGTGGTCCTACCATTCTGCTGTGTGCCCTCAACTCTCAGAGGGTAACAAATTCCACAGGACCCTGATGGCGCCGTGAGTTAAACATTTGGCTGTTTTTCAGGAGAAACATGAAACAATCAACTTCTTAAAGATAACAGTCTAGGAAACCCTATGGAATAGTGCTAATCGGTTTTATATGGTCCATATAAGTTGGAATCGACTTCTGGCAGTGGATTTGGTGCGATTAAACGTGTGTATGAATGGCGTTTTGAATGTAGAAGGCGCTCTTTATGTAAAAGTACGCAAGCGTGTTTCAGCAAGGCTCAATGAAAGACTCAGCCACTTACAAGTGCACCCACACCCGGAGTTTCAGGGACCTTCCCAGATTCTCCAACAAGGAAAATTTACAGGGTGGTGCTTGATACTCCCACCTCCCTTCACGTCTTTGGACACACCATGAAAAAAATTCTATCTCCCTCTACCTACTTTGTCCTCTACAGCTATCGTGCAACACTGCAAACTCTCCGATCGGAGGAGCGTCGTCAATGACATCACATCCACAACCGTTGTCTACTGGAGCTCTTTTCACGCTCCAGGGCCGCTCTAGGCTTCCGCCTCGTGGGTTGGCTGTGAAACTCGATGATTGCTAGGCGGGGCCGTGACGTCCTTGGCGTGGCTGCAGGAGAGACCGCGGCGGGGAAAATGGCGGACGGGAAGGCGGGAGAGGAAAAACCGGAGAATCCACAACGAGCTGGAGCCGCCGGAGGTGAACACAACCCCAGCGTCGCGGGCTGCGGGGAATGTTCCAGTCCATTCTTTGACCGCCCCGGGGTGGGGGGAGTGTGATGGGCGGGCCTGGTGCTCACCCCACCAAAAAACTGGGCGCATATGAGCCCCAGGCACGCCCGGTGCGGCCTATGGGAACCGGGCCCACATCGCCTCCTGGCTGGGAGAGAGCCAGCCCCGGTATGTCACCTCCTGGCCCCAGTGGGCGTCTCACTTTTGAGGAGAGGGGAAATGGGCCCAAGAAGGGAGCCCAATTTCGAGGTGGGACTCTATATGGCGGGGCAGTAGCCGCTACCGCCACCCCAGAGAAGCACATCACACAAAACACACCCCGCACGAGTCACTGAGCGGTGGCCTAGGAAACTGGCCCCAGGCCGAGTTTCCGATGGTGTCGGTCTCATACCTAGGAGTTGCTTAACGCTTGTTGCTCCCTATTCGCGCAGGAAGCTGACGACCCAAGCTTTTTTTATTTTCAAGCTCTTAAATTGGATGGGCCCGGACCTTGTAGGGAAAGGGGAAGCCCACGACCCGGTCCACTCGTTCAAGCTATGGGGTCTCGGATTGCCTTTATCTATCTGTCTTTTCTTAGGCTGTATTTTGCCAACTGACCACTTGCCAGATACTTAGGCTAATGTGACCCTAACTGTATTTTGTTACGAGGTAGAGAAAACTCAGATTGGAACGATCTTTATTCGATCACCCTCCCCGTCCCCTTCCCGGTTAAGGTCTTATACGTAAAGAAAAAGAAAAATGTAATCTCTAGTCCCTCATTGAAAGAACGAAAGTAACACGTCCAAGCATAAGGTTTTTAGGTTTGTGCCATCCTGAGCCCCCCAAGTCTTGTTCTTGAAAACATTTAATAGGAGAAAGTACAGAAAATTAATAGCATATGGAGGCTTGTTAGGTCCTGCTAACATGATGTTGAATATGAATTAACTTGTAAACAAAAGTATTGAACGAAAGTAAATAAAAGGTTCAGTTACTTTGGACCTCAAAATTCCTCTTTAAAAAATGTGGTAAAATAGCGTGAGAAACCTGGTAATTGTCGAGTATAATTACATTAAAAATTAGAAATACTTTGAGGAGAGAAAAACCACAAACAGATCTGCAGTTTAAAGAATACTATGTGACTTAATTTTAGGATCTTTCTAACTGTCTTGACTAAGTATGGCAGAGATGTGTTTAACGTGCTGCCAAAATACATCTTTAAGTGTCAGCATAATTACAATGTGTAATTTATCCACCACTGTCAGGAAATATTAGCTATGTAGTGTGAATCCTTAATCTGCCTCTTGAGGTTTCCATTATAGGCTGTTTTGTGGGGGATAGAGGAGGAACATTATCAGAAAATGATCTCGTTGTCAGTAATACTAAACTGCTACATAATTTGCCTTGGGTGTGCTTCTCTTTACAAGGAATCAGTACTATTGCATATAAACCATTTTAAAATGTCAGAATATTCAAATGAAATTGAACAGAGAACTCATAGTTAAAACATTTCATAACTTGAGCATTAATAAGTTGTTAGCTCTGTGGCAAGAAGTCACTGTTTTGAAAATAGTATCAAGTGTGTCTTAAGGATTTACTTAAATGATGTTCTGAATTTTAATTTCAATTGACCATTTCAGTACATTGGCACTATTGGTATTTTATGAGTAAATTACTTCCATACTTGACATTATTATGTTAATGAGGGAAACTACTTGAACTACTTGCTTTACTTTAAAGAGGAGGAACTAGGCTATAGGTAGATTTTTTCCCCTCCTCTTTTGTTTAAATTTTTGTTGCTTCTTGAAATAATAGAAATTTTAGAGAAGAACTACTGTTATTAAAGTATTACCATCTCAAGCCATGTTAGGTTATGCTTTGTTGTTGTTGTTAAGTGCCTTCGGGTTTGTTCTGACCCATAGCGACCCTGTTTAGGGTTTCCAAGGAGCAGGTGGTGAGCTTGCACCTTCGACCTTGCAGGTCAAACTGACTTTGCAGTCCTGCCCACTAACCCACAGTTATGCTAGGAACTGACATTATTAAGAAAAGCTTACATTCATTGTGCCAGGCACTAGGGGAGTTTTAAATATGTTCTCACTTAAAGCTGCACCCCAGTCCCTTTTTTTTAATTGAGGCAGTAACCAGAATGCAAAATGGGTTATGAAAGGTATCCTTAGGAACTTAAGCTTTCTTTTTAGGTAGTATTTTTAGAGTGAGCAACTTTGTTTGGATATGATGTCTATCTCTTTTCCCCAGCTATTAAGCATAAAAAGAACCAAACACGATAATAGTACAATGTGTAATTTGATTTCACATTAATTGAACTGCATGTTTTGTGGGCTCAGAATAAGTAGAAACTAGATGCAGTCTCTTTTGCTAAAAAGTATTCCATGACAAAGGATCTAGTAATTTTATACAATTTAAATTATGATTTACTTGTGTTTTTTTCAAAACGGAGTATGTATTTATTCCTTCTTTAAAGTAATTATTCATATAACTTAAGTTTTTATAGTACTAATTTGTGGTCAACCAAAATTTTGTTTTCCACAATCCTGAAATACAAAACATGTTAATAAAGACTGAAAATAGCAGTCCCTGATTAAAAGCCCCTAACACAAAAGTAATATATGTACTGTTTAAAGGAAAACAATACTTAGAAATTAATATTGATATTTAATAATATATTTCAAAGCTAATATTAGGTTGAAATAATTTTTTAATGGTTTATATAGAGAATTGTAGAAATTTTTGACTGCCATATTTCCCCACCTTAGTCCATTGCTTAATTCATTTGTTTTATTTCCTAAATGCTTTGTCTATTTTGCTACATAATTGTTAAAAGAGAAAATTACTCCAGATGACACATTTTGCTTTTCAAGACTAATAGTTTACTCACCTTCCTTCACTACTTCCCCCCTCTACCCCTTTACATTGTGAAGTAAATCTTATCTCAAGACACTGATAGAGTTTTTACAATTTACTTTAAAAAGCAAAAACTAAAAACTTAAGTGTGGGCAAGGCCAAGCAGTGATTTGTTATGTCCAGAAATAAACTTCTGGATTTGGAAATGACTTAATAGACATGGTTGTTTAATCTTAGGTGTGTGTCTGTGAAGTGAATAGTCTTTGTAGTTTGACTTTTCAGACATTAAGAACTCAGGTGTGAATTAAATTGACCTGCTGCAGTTGACCAAGTAATGAATAGTTCTCCCAACTTTTTTGGAGCAGCCCTCCATGGATATCTTTTCTATTTCCCATTTCCTAATGGGATGGGCCATAAAGTACTTTGTTTCATGTATTATTATAGTAAGAATTATATTTTACTTTTTTTTTTTCATACTTATACGTTGATGTTCCCAAATTCTCTGTTACAGAATTATTTTCCAGGTCTCAGGAAGACACAAAATTAAGAAAAATGATAGGTTTAAGAAGGAATGAAAAACCTAATTATAGTCCTTGGGTCACAGTTAAACATTTCCACTGAAATCTAGTTTTTTTTAATGCTATTTTGTATTGATGTTTTGCATAGTTGTCTTTGCACAAAATTTGTGCCTTTATATGTAAAGCCAGTGAGTTTTCTATTTCTGTATATCTCTATATGTAGAGCCCATAAGTTTGCAATTTTATCCGTGTCAAGATACAGAAAAGCAATTATTATTTGAGTTTTACTATAAAATATCATACTTGACTAAAACTAAATGGAATGCAGAATAAAATTTAGTGTAGATGCTTTTAGTTAAAAACTTAGACTTTGAAAATTATGTTACATAATACTGTCTTTTAAAGAAATTAAATTCTGTATTTCAGCTATTGTGTGGCAGACCAATCTTACATTCTTTTGGTGCTTTTCTTAGTTCATATCTAAATATGTGAGTAACACCTCAAGCAATCATACCAGTGCACTCTGCCTCCTGGGACAATCCCAGAACCTTATGCTGTTTTCGTCCCCTGCACTGGCATTATAACTTTCACCCTGTGTCCAATGGTAGTAAAAAATTCCTTTCATTTTCCCTCTAAATAAAATCAAATGTTCAGCTCAAAGTGCTTATAAATCCAGAGCCCCCATCATTCCAAAATTATATTGATAATCTATTGCTCCTATTTGTGTTTGGTTCCCGTAACCCAGCCCTCAGTCCTGGCTTTTTGCCTTGTTTTCTCAACTGTTGTCGGGACCATCCCTTAGAGCATCTTCTTCATAAAGTGGCTGTTCATCTAGAATAGCAAGATGCAGTCTGCAGGGTTTATGTAACTGGGGAAAGAAAATTTTGTAATTGTCAGCCAGTTTTCTCGTCTTAGCTGCAAATAAATTGTTCTTAAATAGCCTTCTTGTGTAAAGAACCTAAGATACTCAAAATGCAAATTAATCATTGACCTATTACAAAAAGAAGCAAAAGATAGCTTCCATTTCAAACCTTTTTTGAAAATGTATGCCTTCTAATTGTTTTAAATTACAGTTAGCTCTTTCTCTCTCAGAATATTGTATATACCTATGTATGATAGTTAATTGATCTTAAAGGTAAAACAGGTAATAGCCAAACTTAATTCAGGAAAATAACCTTGAAGTCCCCTTAAATTCCTTTTCAATTCTTAAGATTTTGTGAGATATGCATGAGGAAAACAGCACTTCAGAAAATTACTCAATACTGTATTAACATTGTAGTGCAGGCGTGTTTCTAACTAGGTACTTTGTATAATTAGTGGTATATTATGGTAGAATATTAAGATTTATTGTCCAAATATGTTACGATGTCACTAATTGTCCACAGACTGGTTTGTGCAGAATATATAGACCTTAACTTCTACAAAGCAAAGTTCCACAAATAATTAGTCTATTATATAATAGTACTTAGTTGAAGGGTCTTGACTTTGTGTGAACACCATGTTTATAATTTCAAATTGCTCTGTTATTTTATGCTAGTTAATTCATGGGAGCCTCTTCTACTGCCACACAATCTCAGTTCCTGCTGTATACTCTAACAAACAGTGGAAGAGACTGTTGGGTCAGTAGGTGACAACTGCTGAGGTATCTTCCTTATAACGATGCTTTTTGAGGTTGCTGCTCCCATCAATCTGCTCAGTAAAAATAGCTCATCTTGGTAAGTTGTTTCGACTTCACCAGGACCTGAAGAAGAAGCAGAAAAACCTGTGAAAACTAAGACTGTTTCTTCCAGTAATGGAGGGGAAAGTTCCAGTCGCAGCGCCGAGAAGCGATCAGCTGAAGAAGAAGCTGAAGACTTCCCAACAAAGCCTACAAAGATCTCCAAGTTTGGATTTGCCATAGGTAGTCAGATGACAAAGAAAGCATCAGCCATATCCATCAAACTTGGATCAAGTGTGAGTTGTTATTTTAAATGTGTTTATAGCATAAGATTTTGTTTTGGAAATCTATTTAGATTATGGTAAATTAAGTATAAGAAGTTAAACATTGCTTTAGAAGTAATCTTTGATGCATGAGCTTTACATGCAAGTATTCAAAAAATGATTAATTACTGTGTTCAAGAAAGATCTGGAATATTAAAAGTAATGACTATCATAGGGAATATAAGGTGATAGCTACATAACTTAGAATTTTTCTAAGTAGAGCAAAACCTCGGAAAACTGTTTCCGAGAGAATTTCAGTTGACGTTGAAAGAAAATGTTTTTTCTTTCAATGCCAATTATAGTAAAAGATAGTATCTCTAGAAATCAGTTATTTTTATCTCAAAAAATTGCTAGTAAAGTTTTGCTTGATAAGATGAGCTTCCCTGATTGCCTTAAAGTTATAATGGACATTGATTAATAATACTCTATGACAATAGTTCTTTGGATATTAACTTTTGATCCCTTTTTAAAATATGTAGACCTCTAATTGATACTTAAATTATTAACCATGGAAGCTCTGTTATTAAATGCTATGGAGTCGGTTCCAACTCATAGCAACCCTATGTTGTTTCCGAGGAGCAGCTGGTAGGTTGAACCACTAACTTTGTAGTTACCAGTCCAGTGCTTATCCTACAGTGCCACACCAGGACTCCATGGAAGCTATAGACCTGATGAAAATATTAGTTGGAACACCACATGAAATTATGCGTAGTTGTTTTGACCTACAAAAATGACAATTTCATATTGTTTAACCATGTAGATCTTTGTAGGTTATTTAAATAGTACATTGCTATTTAATTTAGAAAATGATTATGTTTGTATATGGAGAAAAATCCTAAAATTGCTTTGGGGTTGCTTAATTCATATCTGTTTTGTGAAAATTAGTGCTCAGCTACCATACAATTTTATTTCTATATTCAATATTTATTCAGAGATCCTTAAAAAAGCCACCTGGATCGCTTCTAGTCAGAGTTAGTGTGTTTGAATAATTCTTTGAGGTTGTTGGCTTTATTTTGTTTTTTAATTGTGGTAAATATATATGTAACAATTGTTTTTTAATACTTTTTACATGTACAATTCAGTACATGTTCAAACACAGTGACTTTATATGATAAGCACTGGACTGCGAACTACAGGACCCTGGTTTAAGCCTGCCAGCCATTTCATAGGAGAAAGATGAGTCTTTCTGTTCCTTCAAAGATTTAAAACCTTGGGGCTGATCTGACAGCACTTAACATCATGGGGTTCAACCATCATCATCTATTTCCATCTACTTTTTTAAAAGAGCTACCATTCCTCAGAGCCCTACAATATGCTGTGTTCTTTTTTACCCCCTTAATTTTAATTTGAACAACAGACCTGAAGCTTAGTCACTTCATACTGCCCTATTCAAGCTGATTTTTGTGTTACTTGCTTTTTTTTGTTACATACACCTGACTGCATAAATAAGTATTTTTAATGATGTATTAAATGTGAATTCTTAAATTCACTTCTAATATAGATGGTTCCCTTGAAAATAGATTTTACTGTGCCTGAACTTATACTTTTAAATCACATGCCCCTACTTATTCTAAAACATTGGCATGATTTAGTAATTGCTATCAATTTATAAGAGATTGTTACATTTGGGGAAAAAATAGTAAGACTTTTTATTCTTTTGAAAACAAAACTCTTTAAAATAAATTTCAGTGTAACTGTACTCTTGAGGGGATTGAGGTATGTTGTTGTGTTGTGAAATGCCGTCGAGTCGGTTCCAACCCATAGCAACCCTGCATAGGGTTTCCAAGGAGCGACTGGTGAGCTTGAACCATCGAGCTTGTAGTTCAGAAGGATTTGCAATCTGGCGCGTTAACCCACAGTGCCACACCAGGACTCCGTAGTGAGGTATAGGACCTAAAAAATGGTTGGCTGCTTGTTTAGGTTATATCATGAAAACCTAGTTTATCAACCAACAAACGCTTATTTGTATGTTAGTTGTACATATGATGTCAAATATATGACATCTTTCAACAAAGAGTGTTTCTTGAGTTATTGTGTATAATCTCCAAGGTAACATTTTTATTTAAAAATAAATGTTTGTGATGTAGAAGATAGGATGATTAACTTGACTCAGCAAGTCAGAGATTTTACTCACAAAGTAGAAAACTTTTCAAAGCAGGGGAGAAAATGAGACATATAACTAGAATATTAAAACCTATGCACTGATAACCCACATTTCCAAAAGAATGAATTTGTCCAAAGTACTGTATAGGCAACCCGTTTTATTGCACTTTACAGATAGTGCCTTTTCTTTCTTCTTCTTTTTTTTTTTTTTTTGTTTAAACAAGTTGAAGGTGTATAGCAACACTGTATCAAGCATATCTGTTAGCACTGTTTTTCCAACAGCTTGTACTCACTTTAAGTCTCTGTCACATTTTGGCAATTCTTTCAGTATTTTCATCTGTTTTGTAATTTTATTGCACACTTAATAGACTACCAAACCAAAACTAAACTCATTGATACTGAGTCAGTTCTTACTTACTGTGACTCTGTAGGACAGAGTAGAACTGCTCCTTAGTTGTAAATCTTTATGGAAGTTGTAAATCTTCGTGGAAGAAGACTGCCTCATCTTTCTCATGCAGAGCAGCTGGTGAGTTCAAATTGCCAACCTTCAGTTAGTAGTCCAATGCTGAACTCACTTTGCTACCAGGTATCCTTTAATAGACTACAGTGTAATGTAAGAAGAACTCTTATATGCACTGGGAAACCAGAAAATTTATGTTACTGTGAAAAGATAATGGTTAAATTTTTTAAGATCATTTATATCCTGAGTTAAGCCTGTACAAATGTTACTCACGTGGTATTTTTAAAATTGTGTTTCTTCTGTAGAAGCCTAAAGAAACAGTTCCAACTCTTGCTCCAAAAACCCTTTCAGTAGCAGCAGCTTTTAATGAAGATGAAGATGTAAGTTGATATCTTATTTTGTTTGAACCAATTTTTTAAAGGAAGTGTCAGTGACAAATTGTGGGTTACTTTAATGATAGTAGTTAGTTTTCTGTTTTGCAGTTTTAAACAGTTTTTTTCTGACACCTACAAAAATATTTTTATATCAATTTTCCTTATTGACTTTTGAGTCATGAAGCTTAAGAACCAAATCAGTAAATGCTAATGATATGACATACTGTCCTCGGATATATATGATGAATTAAAAAACTAAGAATTAGCAAGCCTTTAATAATTTGTATAGTTAGGATTTTCAGTGATAATTGTATATTAACTTAGGGGAAGCAAGCAAACTGTTAATACTTGTTTCCTATACTCCAGAGAGGAATAACAATTTAAATAGAGCAGGAATTTCTGCAGTTCTACTCAATAAATGTGTATAAGAGCAAGTATGAAATGCTCATCTGCTGCTTTCTCAGTCACAGTACTCTCCTGTTTCTTATGGTATCCCTATCCTACCATGCTTATATGGATTTTTTTTTTTTTTCTTTTTTGAACTAAATGATAATTTACATGGGAGGACATTGGCTTTACACCATTGTTTCATTGCAGTGATTACAGTCTCCGTGCATCATCATTCAACAGTACTTGCTTCCATTCCCTCTGGGTTTGTTTGTTTTTTGGTGGGGAGGAGGTTGCAGGGGTGGAGACAAACACAAAAATACTCAGGAATATGTAATCATTTAAACAACCAAAGGGCACGTTCTGCAAGCCTGCCTCCTGGCCACCACCACCTAGTCCCTCTCTTTCCATGAGTCCAGAGTCCTCAGCTGCTCCTTCTCTCCATGTCTTCATCTCTTTCTCCATCTCTGGTGTCCTGCTTATCTGGATAGGGTCCTGCATTCTGCCTGTGCTCTTCTCCCGTGATGGTCCTAGGGTCCTTATATGGAATTTTAAAGGATAATTTTGACTGATTTTTACACTAGGATTTTTTACTTTGGAACCTAACTCCCATTATGACCCCTAGTGTATAACAGCTAAGTGTTACAGGTTACATGAGTAATTGTTTCCAAAACTAATATGGATAAGAATTATACAAACCTGTGGGACTGAAGTGATTTAAGAAGCATATGTAAGAGTTACATACCAACACTTAAAGATTTGGTGAACCAACAGGTGACAAGTAATAAATACTGAGTTTTTTATGTAGAACTCTTGTAGAGGTGTCCTGGACAAAGATAAGTATGTAATGGTTGGAGCCAAGATCAATAAGTAAAGAATTAAAGAATTAGTATAGTTACCACACTATTCTCCTTTGGATTTTTACTCATTATGTACATTTGAGTGCTTTCTATTTTCAAGACACATAAAGTTACAAAAATAGCACAAATATGTTATATAGAAATTCAGCCTATTATAGCAGAAACTTGACACATAAAATGTATGAGATATAAAATCAAAAGTACATGATTTGATGTGGAAGTTTAAAGAAGAGGAGAGACCAGGTAACTAGATGGAGTAGCATGAGCAAAACACTAAACTGGGAATTGAAAGACCTAGATTCTTGGCCAGATGTCGCTTTGCTAGTTACTAAACAGTAGAAAGCTTTTAAGTACATCTTTTCACATTTTTGGAGCCATAGTTTCTCAATTGTAAATTGAAGGTTCAATCTAGAGGGCATAGATTTTTGAACTATTTCTTCAGGTAACTAGTGATCTATAGGAGTGTGTGAGAAACTATTGTGATGTGAAACTTTTGGCAAATGGAGAAACTAAGAATTAAAGTGCATAAATATGTGCTAATGCATGTTGTTGTTGTTAAGTGCCATCGAGTTGGTACCGACTCACAGTGACCCTGTGCACAACAGAACAAAACACTGCCCAGTCCTGAGCCAACCTCACAATTGTTGCCACGCTTGACCCTGTTGATGCTGCCACTTTGCCAATCCATCTCACTGGGGATCTTACTCTTTTTCTCTGACCCTCCACCTTACCAAATATGATATCTTTCTCCAGCAACTGGTCCTTCCTGACAATATGTGTGACGTATGAGAGACGAAGTTTGGTCATCCTGGCCTCCAAGGAGCACTCTGGCTGCACTTCTTCCAACACAGATCTGTTGGTTCTTTTGGCAGCCCATGATACCTTCAGTATTGTCCTAAACCATAACTCAAAAGCATCAATTCTTCTACAGTCTTCCTTATTTACTGTCCAGCTTTCACATGCATATGAGGTTATTGAAAATATCATGGCTTGGGTCAGGAGCACCTTAGACCTCAAGCTGACATCTTTGCTCTTCAGCACTTTAAAAAGGTCTTATGCATCAGGTTTGCCTAATGCAATATGTCATTTGATTTCTTAACTGCTGTTTCCATGAGTGTTGATGGCTGATCCAAGAAAAATGAAGTCTTTGACAACTTCAGTCTTTTCTCCATTTATCTTGATGTTATTTATTGGTCTAGTGGTGAGGATTTTTGTTTTCTTTACATTGAGATGCAGTGTATACTGAAGGCTATAATCTTTGATCTTCATTAATAAGTATTTTAAGTATGGTAATGCATACTGATGCTGAATTAAAATTTTGGTCCTCTGGTCTCTTTTTTTTTTTTAAGGCGCTTTAGATAGGTTCAGATAACATTTCTTTCTGCTGTGTTGTTGTGTTGTTAAGTGCCGTCGAGTCGGTTTCGACCCATAGCGACCCTGTACAGGGTTTCCGAGGGTGTAAATCTTTACGGGAGTAGAAAGCCTGATCTTTCTCCCGCGGAGCAGCTGGTAGTTTCGAACCGCTGACCTTAAGGTTCACAGCCCGATTCGTAACCACTACGCTACCAGAGCTGTAGTATGTTAATATAAGTAAAGGATAAACTAAATCCCGCCTGCCATGGGATTGATTCTGACTCAGGGCGACCCCATCTGTGTCAGAGTAGAACTATACTAAATAACATTTTCAGTGGCTAATTTTTTTGGAAGTAAGTCACCAAGTCTTTTTTTGAGTAGTCCCTGTTGTTATGTGCTGTCTAGTTGGTTCTGAGTCATAGCAACCCATACTGGGTTTCCAGGGAGCAGCTGACTGGTTTTAACTACTGACCAGTGCTTATCTTACAGTGCCTGGTTAAACTCAAACCTCCAACCTTTCAGTTAGTAGCTGAGTACATTAACTGTTAGCATCATGCAGTGACTCCAAAGAATAAACTATCTCATAAATAAAGAAAAAAAAAATCTGTGCAATTAAAATCTTCATCTGCTTTTCATTGTTTTACAAAACAAAGTTAAGTAATTAATATTGGATATATTCTGAGCCTAAAATATATTGGTAAACAGGGTGCCCATTTAGTTAAATAACTGCTTTTTAAATATTTTTAATATGTTTTCAATTGTATGTCTTTAGTCTAATCTGGAACAATTCTTAAGTCTTTCTATTATTTCATGTAAGTAAAATTTTTGAGGAATATAGGCCTGTGTTGTAAAACTGCACTTAGTGTAGGGTTCTTCGTGTTTCCTCATCATTAGACTCACATTTCTAACATTGGATAGGAATACCCCAAAACTGATACCAGATTCTCAGTGTATCATATCAGAGAGCCTGTGCTGTCATTTTGGCCCATTACTGGCAGTGTTAGCTTGGATCATTTGGTTATCTGCCCAGTTTCTCTATTTTTTATCTTTCAAAATTAAAATGTATGCTATTGGGGTATACTTTGAGAATATGTATATAGTTCATTAATCCTCAAGTATTCACTTACCGTTGATGATTCTAAACCAAAATCCACTGCCATCCAGTCGATTCCAGCTCACAGAAAACCTATATATAAAGGCTTATATGCATAAGGGTTTCTGAGACTGAGCAGCATCATCCTTTCCTGTGGAATAGCTGGTGTATTTGAACCATCGACCTTGAGGTTAGCAGAAAATAGTAATTTTCTAATTCTTCATTCCTTCAAAGTTTAATAATTGACTTTTACTGTAAGGAATTATTTTCCCTGAGATCTTTAAAATTTACACTTTATTTATATCTATTTAGACTCATGGGTCCTTGCTTTAAATAGAGTATTGTTTATCTGTTACCTATAATGCTAGTTTTGATCCAGAAGTCCCTTTATGTTGATTTTTAGGACACTTTAAAAACATACATTTAGCTCAACAGCAGTATTTGTACATAAAAATATGTCTGAAAGGAAATTGATGTATACCCTGTTTTTAACACTGTAAGTAGGGAAAAGTAGTAAGGAATGACTCTTCAAGCTGTCTGTCTAGTAAAGTGTAGGTATTTTTGAGAGTAAGTTATATAGTAATGTGGTTGAGAGACTATGCATTTACTTCAGACTGTTATTACTAGCTTTATGACTTTGGATAAATTAATTACCTTGTTTGGGTTTGGGTGGTTTTTTTTTTTTGCAAATTGGGAATGAGTGATAATCATATCTGTCTCATAGAAATTATTAGAATTTTAGATAATAGTGCATTTAACAATGTTGTAGCACATTTTCCTCTAGGAATTCAGTCTATTAATAAATGACTTTACTTCAAGAATATCAAGGGTTTTTTAAGCAATTTTCTTTTTTAAATGTGGTTAAAATTAATTTTCTCTCTTTACCAGAATTTTCAGTATTAAAAATTCTAAAAGACTTAACTATAAAATGTAGTGTTCTTAATAATCAGGTGTATGCCATCATCTGAACTAGTTGTTATTCCTTTCTCCAGAGTGAACCAGAGGAAATGCCTCCAGAAGCGAAAATGAGGATGAAAAATATTGGAAGGTATTATATGTAACATTTCACAACTTTAATATTACAGAAAATTATATGGGTGAATTAAGAGCAAGAATAAATTACACATAATCTTTTAGTGCTTAGCATTTTCTCAAGTATTTTGGCAAAATAGTTTCATAACTTTCTATATCATGGTGGCTCCATAGAATAAGCACTGGCCTGCGAACCACAAGGTTGGTAGTTCAAGCCCACTATCCACTCCATGGGAGAAAGATGAGGCTTTCTGCTCTCCAAAAAAATTTTAAAGCCCCAGAAACTCTGTATAGTTTCTGAGTGTGAACCAACTTGGCAATACTTAACAACAACTTACTATATGCTAGATGGTTAACTAAGATTTGAAAGATGTAGACTCATAAAATCTTCATGAAAAAGAATAATAGTGTAATAATAGTATAATGTTTTGTGACTTATGAGTTATTTATAAAAACAAAACTAAACAAAATACCACCAAACCCATTGCCATTGAGTTGATTTAGACTCATAGCCACCCTATATAGGATTTCCAAGACTGTAAATCTTTATTAAAAGTAGTCTTCTGCGACACAGCTGGCGGGTTCAAACTGCTGACCTTGTGGTTAGCAACCCATTGTTTATCCAGGGCTCCTTTATGTGTTATAGTAATCTTATTTTTTTCTTCAGGTTAAAAAAAATTGAGTGTATAGAATAAATAATAACCTATAGCTGTTTCTTTTTGACACATGTAATCTGTGATTTTCAAATAAATGTTAAGTGCCATCAAATCAGTTCAAACTCATAACGATCCTGTATAGGGTTGTGAGGAGCAGCTGGTGGGTTTGAACCATAGACCTTGTGGTTCGCAGTGTATTGCTTATCCTGCAGCACCAATCAATGTTTTTTATTTAAAATTATGTAAATTTTCTTTTGGTATAAAAGAGAAATAAACGACCTTCAGTTTCTTCACTTAGGATATCATTGTCTTCATTTAACCTTGATTATATATGTACGCTCTTTTTCCCTCGGTAATTTAGATGCCAAATACTAAATAAGGCAGTCTTATAAGACTTTCAGTTCTATGACTCAATTGGGAACATGAAGTGGGTTGCCTTTTTTCCATTCTTTTCTACTGGGAACTAAAATGAGAAATGCATCTGGCATTGTAACATAATCTAAATACCCATTATGGTGGTGGTGGTGGTGGTGTGCAATGGAGGAGGTTCCAACTCAGCGACCTGCATATCATTTCCAAGACTGTAAATCTTTATGGGAGCAGAAAGCTTCATCTTTCTCCCACGGAACCGCTGGTAGTTTTGAACTACTGACCTTGAGGTTAGCAGCCTGACTCCTAGCCACTATGCTATTTAAATAGATAAAATTGAAACCAAAGTTCATAAAATGACAGTGATCCTTTTATTGTGATATATCTTCGTGCTTTTTTTTTCTCAATATTGATGGCAAACTACCAAATTGATGGTAGTTTGACCTTGTTAACAGGTTGTAACCCAGAGCTTAATAATCTTAAGTGGTTCTCAACCTTAGCTGTGCATTAGAATCTACCTTCAGTGTTTATTAAACCTAGTTTTATCTTCCATACTGAATCTGCAATTAAAAAAAAAAAATTATGTAGGGACTTCAGTCTGTGTTTGTAATTGGTGCTAAACAAGAATATATGAGTATTTTGAATGATTTAAAACATAACCCCAACGGCTTTGTTTAACATTTTAAAACTTCTTTCTGTCACAGGGATACACCAACATCAGCAGGACCAAACTCCTTCAACAAAGGAAAGCATGGGTTTTCTGATAACCAGAAGCTATGGGAGCGAAATATAAAATCTCATCTTGGAAATGTTCATGACCAAGACAATTAAATGATGTGTTTTATGATTTGGGGTGTGGGGTGGGTGTAAAGTTAAAAGGAACAGTTTCCTTTTTTTAAAGAATGGCATAAGACTATC